TTTCAGCTTCAGTTTTAGTTCATGTTTCATCTCGTTTTCAGCTTCAGTTTTAGTTCATTTTGTTTCATCTTGTTCGTCAGTTCTCCTCAGGTTGCTGGAGTCCCTCGCTTCAGGTTTGGTCTTTCAGAAGACGTGCCTCAGACCAACTCCTCCTCTCACTCTGACCTCGGCCAGCTCGCCTCGCAAGGAGGTGATCCATCACACGTTTAAAAATAAATTACACATAAAATGGTGATTTAATACAAAAAAGCAATAAGAACGGGATGTTCTTTCTTTTTTAATGGTGAAATGATTTCTTTTCTCCAGGTCTTGGGATGTATGAAAGTCCTCTGTTCTTGGCGACTCATGAGGAAGAGTCGGGAGGCCGCAGCGTTCCCACCACTCCACTGCAAGCTGCAGCTCCAGGTACCTTTCACTCAGTCTGATACGAAGACATTCATTTATCTATCTTGACCCTTTTCATAAATACAACCAACCGATTTAGATTCTGGAGTCTCCACCGTTTGTAAAGATAGTTTCCTTTTATCTCCAGTAACTGTCTTCTCGGAGGCTGCACAGTCTGACACGACGGAGCACGCCTCGCAGTCGGTTCCCATGGTGAGCACGTCCACGCCGGGCCTGGTGCTGCCAGGAACCGCCGGGGCCGGGGAGCAGAGAGAGATCTTCCTGGAGCCAGACACGGAGAGGTGATTATCTCTCAAGCTTTTTTCTTCACGGTTTCCACATCTTAGAGTTCTAATTTGATAAACTACATTAAGAGTTTTAAAATTCCTTTTCTTTTCACTCTATGACCTTATCAACTTTACTTATGTTTTGTGTCTATCTTTGGCTTTGTTTGTTTGTTTGTTTGTTTGTTTGTTTGTATTTATGGATGCATTCAGTCGCTCCACGTCTCGTCTTGTTTGTTTTGTTTTGTGCAACCAAACAACAAGACCCACAATGCAGAGCAGCAGGAAACAGATTAATTCTGTAAACACTAAAACTGTGCCACTTGGGTAGAACATATTTACAAAAGTTTTTTAAAATGCACATTGTATATACATTTATGCATGTATTTATATTTTGTAGATATTCTTTGTACAGTGTTTGTTTAATTATTGCTCTGAGGATCTTGTTTTTTCAGCAAATGGCCTTTTTTTTGTCTGTTTACTCCAGTTAATGATTAATCGATTATTAAATTAGTTCACAATTATTTTAATAGTCGGTTCATCATAATTAATCCAACAAATTGCTTCTACCCTGATATAAAATATTGGTAAAACCTAGAAGTGCATCGATTTATCTGCACCAATGTCCTCGGTCGACACTTACATGTGAAACCGATCTTATCTCCCTCAGCAAAGGTCTAAAAATCAACCTCTGTCCTCTCCTCCCCCGCTGTGAGAGAGGTTTGACTGATAGACCAGGTCATGACTGCATGTTTGCGGTTAGCAATAGTCACCCCTTTGTTGCCAACTCAGTGTTTTTTGCTATATTTAGCTAAATTTCAGACAGAAATAAAATGGGTATCGGCCAAAATCAGAATCAGCAGGTCAGGTTTTTAAAGATCAGTAATCGGCGATTGGCCAGAAAACTGCACTCAGTGCAACCCTAGTAGAAACAATCTTTAAAAGTTTAAGCTTCCTGGAAAACACAGTAGTGGTGGAAGATTTCCAGCTGTGATCCTGTATGTTTATTTTTTCCAGGCCCAGTGCTGAAGCGTCTCTGGATGCTGTGGTGTCGCAGGGAGACGCGGAGGAGCCGAGCCAGCCATCTGACAAGGCCAACCTTCCCTCCACCAGCCAGGAGCCTTCCTCCAGCTCTGCAGGTAAAGCCTTAAAACTCATCCATGACAGCCGTCTGGGATACCAGGTGAGACCGATGTGATTATAAATGTCTGATCTTTGCAGATACAGTCCCTAAACCCGCTCATCACGGACATTCCAGACAGCTGCAGCGCTTTCATGACAGCCGTGGAGGTCGGATGAAGAGAGGAGGTAACAACTTTATTGTTCCTGGTGGTTCTAAAGAACTTAGTAAGCTAAAGAAAATGGAAAACAGTCAGAGTTTTCACAACATTTAGTCTTTATTGCCCTCTAATTTTCCTTAAAAAAATCATATATTCACACTCTTATTTATGCACAAACAGTGTATTTAATAAAAATGTTGCCTCATTAACCAAAACTGCCAGGAGATGATATGCAGGCACAACATTGACTAATACTTAGTAACTGTACAGAATCTACATCATTGTTGAACTTTGTCTTCCGCAGGTCAAACCTTCCCTCCCCGCGGCTTACATGGGAGACGATTTCTGAGATGAAGCACTAATCAGTACTAACTCCTAAATGTAGGCAACACCATTCAACTTTCAGAACTGCATTCATCCATGTTCTTGTTTCTTGGCTAGATTTTGTTTATTTGAATGTTTTTTTTAATTCATGTTGATGCTGTGATGCTGTGTTTTAATCAGAAAATAAAACTGTTTGAAATTAGCTCGTGCTCCTTTGTTGTTTTATTTTTCCAGTTAGGATTTCTTCGGGCATCTGAAGAAGTTGTCGGTTTTCGGCGACACATTTGCTCTCGGAGCGGCGACAACGGGTTGGCCATCGTGCATCCTCACGTTGTACGCCGTCGCTGTAAAATATTAGGTGTGGCTTGGTCAACATATTCTGTGAACAGATGCATTTCAGCGTATTTTTCCATGCTGGTGGAAGTTTCCATTTGTTAAAGGATGCTTTACACTCCACATTTAACGATCTGTACATCTGCTAAGCATCCCTCATTAAACTCGCTGGATGTAATGTCAAGGTTTTTAATTCCTTTGAAGTTTAGCTTGCTAATACAAACAAAATAGATGGAGAAAAATACATTTGCTGCTTATAGATATTAAAGTTTTGTTTGAAAAATCTATGCCTATCCAATGATTATCTATGGATATCTAGAAATGAAGCTAAATCTGTCAAAATAATGACTGATTTTGACTGATTAGTTGAGAGCTTAAGGGTCTTCAGTGCTGAATATGAGTGACTTGACACTCGATTTAAGATTTTTAAATATTTGCAGCTGTTTATATCTTGTCTCGTTGCAGCTAAAAACTATTTTATCGGGATTTTGTAACAGACCCACAAAATCTGAAGATAGATGTGAAGTAAAACCAAAAGAAAAAGTTATTTACAAAATATGCTTGCCTGGGTGAATATTTTCCAAGTTTCTTTAAAAATGTGGAATATATGTATTAAAGAATATTTACATGTAAATTCATGGGATTATAGTTAAGTGATTCCATCTCTAGTCCTGTTGGCAGGTTGATGTTAAAGCACAATAATAAGGGATTAAAACCACAAAATGACACTACAAAATAAGAAATGCATAAAAACTTCAAATGTCTATAACTTTCCATGTCATCAATGCTGCTAGTTTTACGATAATCTTTGACCTTCCTTCCATCTAAATGTAAAAAGATTCACCTGTTCTTTGACTAATAGCTTAACCTCTGTCAGACAGGATGGAGAACATCTGAGCATCCATTTTCCACTCACCACACATTATCTATTATATTTAGATCTGGACTTTTCACTGAGCCAATCTAACACATTAAGATGCTTTCATTGCTTTTATTTTATACAACAAAATAAAACGGGTGCATAAAGTTTTCTTCTTCGTGTTGGTCTATCGAAAAAAAATCCCAATTTAAATAACGGAAAATGTGAAAAAGTTAAATAATATAAGATGCTGTGTTTCTGACTTACATCTTGAGAAGACGACGTATTTGTACCCCTCTGGGTTTCTGTTGGTTGGCACGGAAACGGCTGCTGTGATGGTGGAGGGGAAGCCTTTCCAGGATCTACGGATGTTTATTGCTGGCTCCAAAACAGAAACTGCAAGGAGGTGGAACATGAGAATTGGTCAGTTCTGCAGTGAGACTGGATCTGAGGTTCAGGTCCATTCTGCTGACTTAGTGTTAGAAAGGATTATTAATCCCTCTTGGATGCTAGTATCTAAACTTTGCTGCTTCCTTTAGAAATATTTAGTGACTGACCAGTGCATGTGCCAATCAAATGCACAAAAAGCACCACAATGCAGGTCAGCAAATCCTCTCATCTCATTGGCTACTTTCTCATGAGTTGAAATCTCCCTAAAATTATGTTATTACTGTTGACGTATTGAGCAATAGGGGGAAAAAAATGTGCTCCAAAAATATTTGTTATTTATCCAGACATTAAAAATATTCTTATTTTGAAGCCTTAATTTGCGCCGTACCTGCTTGACGGACCAGTCGAGCGCGAACAGTATAAACAGGCACGTTGGCCGTTCTTCCGCATTTGGGACTGGTGCCAAACTGGTATGAGTATTTCTGAACTGTTCCCCCTGTAAAGAAAACAAACAAACAAAAACATTTTTGAAAGAAATTACAGAGAAAAATATTGAAATGCTTTAGGATAATTTGATTACCTCTCTTGAAGAAGTAAACGGACTCTTTCCTGCTGAGGTACTGCGGCACAGACAGGGCAGCTGTGATGTGGCCCTGCAGCCCGTCAAAGCCCGTTTTCACCACTTTCGGATAACCCGGGTCCAGAGCATCATTTTCGAACCTCCAGTATTTTCCTGCCTGTAAATTTAAAACAAACAAGAAAATGTTATAAATGTTCATCAGAGGCATAGTTAAGAAATTTTAAGGCTTCTTGCGCTTCAATTTTGTTGGAAATGGCATCAGAGGAAAGAAGTTCATAACTGTGAAGCAGAATGGAAATTTTATACAGTTTTAAATCTTTTCTTTTTCTTCTTTCATTTAGCATCTCTAAATTTGGGGAATCACAGATGCAAGTCTTTTCTATACCAGTTTAGCACTTATGCTTATTTTTCTTTGCAAAATAGTTCAAACTTAGTCAAATTTTAAACAAAAACGAACCAAAACTTTACATTGTATCATCTGGACTGATTTGATTTAGACCATTTCGTTGTTGCTCTGACTGTATGTTTAGGGTTGTAGGTGAACCTCCACCCCAGTCTCAAGTGTCTTACGCAGTAATCGTTGATTAATTAATAATCGATTAATCGGTAACTGGAGTACGAATTTTAAGAAAAAATTTGCTGAAAGAACAACACTCTCAGATCAGTAATTAAACTAAAAATGTGCAAACAATATGTATATATTTTGCATTTGAGATAAACCTTGATCTGTAAATATGTTCTACCCACTACAACTCAAGTTGCACAGTTTTAGCTTCACCTGTTCGAGTTCTGTAAAAATAGAAACATTTTATTAAGCACATTTTGCTATCCAATCATTAACCAGTTAATCTAAAAAATAGTCAACATATTAGTCCAAAACAGTATTGATAAGTCAAGTTTTTCACATGTCCACATTTTTTAGCTGCAGATTAATCATTTGCTACAAATGATCAAACATGCACTAAAGCAATGCTATTGCATTTCAGGCAATGAAATGTTTGTTTTCTTAATAAAAAAAAATTAATTGAATTGTTTATTTGTATATTTTAATGTACTTCTAAATGAATCTCTTCGCAGGGTGCTGCTATGAGGCGTCTCACCTTGAAAATGTAGGTTTTGCCCTGACAGTTGCAGCGAGTGAACACGGTGTCGATGGGCGAGGGAACGCCCCACACCGCTGTGATTCCTTTGGGTGAACTCGGCACCAGGTTTCTGTCCAGAACCCAGAAGTAATGGCCTGTAATAATAATAATAATAATAATAAATGAAGAAGGTATAACAGCCCTCCATGCAAGCTAAACGAATATTGCATAGTTAATCAATGTGTTTCTTTGTTGAGAACTGATGTGAATATGTGTATGTAAATAAACCGAATTAATCCAAAACTACCTATAAGTAATTTTTCAGCACAATGTAGGAGGGAAATAATTTGCCAACAGAAGAAATTTTAACTGCTAATAAAATGTCTTATTCCACATTATTTCACTTTTAAGCAGTACTTTTTCATCTGTATTAAGGAATTATTGACTTAAAATAAGCTTCCCATGTCGAGCTGAAAAGTTACTTGTGATTTAGTTTTCTTATTTCAAGTGCTTTAAGATATTTGCACTAGAAACGAGTGCAAACAGGATCATACTTGGTAGGATTTTTGTATTTTTGCGGTGTAAAACCTCTTAGTCTTCCAGTTACAGATGAACAGATTCCAGCTTTTCGACACTGACCTCTGAAAACCACCATTGTGCCGTTCCTCAGTGTGGTGATCCCACTGACCGGGCGCCCGCTGCACAGGTTTGTGTCATCGCTGTCATCTGGAGGACAAATGAGCACATTGTTGAAGAAAAAATCAGAACACTGCAGCAGGAAACATGGGTAGTTTTTATTCATGAATTGCCATTAAATTGAAAGCAGGACGCTATTAGTTTCATATTTTTTGCAGCGTTACATTAAATGCAAAGTATTTTTAAAAGCAAAAAATAAGGAACTTTTAATACATTGAGCTTAGCTACAGACACTGCTTTGATGCGACTCTGGATTATGAATGTCTAAACTGTGGTACAAGTTCCTCTGCTGGGGCCCAGGCTCACAGTAGAGGTACACAGAGAAGGTAAATTTGAATGATTAACCATAAAGTAGAGCTAATAAGCACTTATAGTCAAAAATATGTTGTTCAAGCACATTGATCTGCATTTTTTCAAATAGGGGTTCAGTTGTGTGCTACGTTTCCTAACCTCTGAACTCAAATCTTGAAAGTTGGGATCACATAATGGATCAGCTTGTTAAATCATGAACCGACTAAAATCTGAGGTGGATAGAGTAGTCAGAAATTGTTCTCGAGTAAGAGTAGTACTATTTCAACATATTTTTACCCAAGTAAAAGTAAAAAGTAGCCATCCAACAAAATTACTTGAGTAAAAAGTGTTTGGTAAAAAGTCTGAACTGAGAACCATTCATCCAGTCAAATTTACTCAAATGAGCTAAAAAACTCATTACCCAGGTCAGTTTGGAAAGCTTTTTCCTCTTCCTAAATAAAAGTTTTAAACTTTCTTCCCTAGAGGAAGAATAAAAACCAACAGAGCTCATAAAACCTGCTGCTAGCTGCTCCAATGAATATTTAACACAAATTGGAAACATCCATCTCTGCGGCAGAATCACGCCTGTGGAACAAGTTAGTGCTTCTTAAAACATGTCTTCATTGTGTAAAATGTGTTTTTACCTCCTTGGTAATCTTTCAGGTTGTCTGTAATCTGGGTTTGTGGGTCCAGAGGCTTGGACTCAGGTTTAGTGGTGGGTGATGCTTTGGATGGGTCCGGTTTGGAGTCGGGTTCAGATGTGGGAGGATCAGCAGTTGTTTCATCTGGATTAACACCGCCACTGGCGCTGTCCGGGGCAGCCGCTGTGGACGAGAGCAACTCGTCTCCAGCTGGGGTGAGAGTGGCGTCTGAAACGTCTTGCAGAACATCAGGAGAGCTGGTTGTGATGCTTTCTGGGCTGCTCTCTGTGTTTGGGCTTGAAGTGGTTTCCTCAATAACTGAAGCCAAGGTTGACGAGCCCGAAGTTGTGGTGAGCTGGGAGTTTTCCAGCTCTTCCATTAAGTCCTTTGCGTTGGTGTGGCTGACCTCTGGTGCGTCTGAGGGGGAAATCTCCGTCTCGGTCTCTGAAGCTCCGGACGAAGCTGTAGGTTCAGTTTGTGGCTCTGAGGTCAATGAAAGGTCAAGGACGCCGCTGTTCGGTTCAAAGGGAACCAGAGGAGTTGTTGTTTGATCCGGGTCGACACTTGTCGGTTCTGTAGGGTCTTGAGATGGGAAAACAATGACAACTTAATAGGACTGTAACTAGTAGTTATTTTAGCTAACCATTATTTTCACAATTAACTAATCAGATTAAAAAAGTTACCACATTATGCACATTTTTCATTCAACCTTTTTTATACAATGTTAGAAATACATTTTTAAAATCCTTTAAATAATAATATTAATATTTTATTGACTAAAACGCAATAACACAACACTCCTTTAGTGCAGGAGTGTCCAAAGTGTGGCCTGGGGGCCATTTGTGGGCCCTGAAATGATTTTGTTCAGCCCCTGACAACAAGTCAAGAATGGTAAAAATCTGGCTTACAAAATAGAAAGCAACAGATGACCCCAAAAATTCGGAAATTGTTTTTCTTCTTTTTTTACTTTTAAGACGGCAACAGTCTGCAACATTTATATTTTGGATCCTCAATAATACACAGATTTCATAAAAGGTGTGTTTATTGTTACACAGGTAAAACTAAAAAAAACTTATTTAATGAATTTTGTGCCCTGTCAGTAGTTTACATTTACCAGTTTTGGCCCTTTGCTGTAGTGTTTTGACACTACAGCAAAAAAAAACTTAAAAATACTTCTAACTTCAACATGTGAAATGCTCAGTTCTAGAGTGTAGGGCTGATCCGTTTTTTAGATTAACTAAATGGTTCTGGTGTAAAACAAAAGATGGATGTGTTTAAATCCACCTTGGGGTCACTGTTAAGTGCAGTGTAGGTTCTGTGATGCTGTGGGCCTGATTGTTTCCCAATATCTCTGGATCTGAACACTGAACATCACACACCTGTGCGTCCAGTCGTAATTGCTGCCAAAGTAAAAATGTCATCCACAGGCGTCGGCTCTGTATTGAACTGTGGATCGTCTCTAATCAGAGTCGGTTCAGTCGGGATTTCGTCCAAAGGCTCAACTGGAGTCAGTCCATCACCACTGCTGACCTCTGGGGTTGGAGATGCCTCCGGTTGCACATCTCCGTTGGTGGACAAGTCGTCATTCGGAAAAATCTCAGCAAATATATCTACCAGAGAGATGTTTACACAGACTGTTATTGTTGTGTCTGGAAAAAGTTGTTTGCTAAACTCTTCATGATATTTCTGCTCACCATCGCCATCGTCAAGATCCATGGGTGGGTACGGTGTCAAACTGTCTGGAGTAAGTAAGCTGTCATCTGCAGATGAATTGGAAAAAAATTGGAAAATGATTTAATCAAAATCTTGACAGACATGCCAGGATTTTCCATCTCCACGAAGCAGAAGAGAAAATTTGCTGCAAAAACACAAACATATTTTTGTCTAACTTCTAGTGCAATTATATTTGTTCACTTGAAATAAGACAAAATTAACTTACAAGTAACTCTTCAGCAAGATATAGGAGCTTGTTTTAAGCTAATAATTCCTTAGTATATATTTTAAAAACTACTGGCTCCAATTGCAGGTTATCGATTTTACAAACCTATTTATTATACCAGTGGAACTACTACTTTTTCATTAAATAAAACATAAAGCATACTTCTATATCTTGCTGAAAAGTTACTTGTAAGTTGGTTTTGCCTTCTTTCACATACTAAGAATATTTGCATCAGAAATCAGACAAAAATAACAGGTCAACTTTTGCGTTTTTGCAGTGTATATGAAACAGGGTTTTATTTAAAAAAAAATATTATAGATGGGATGTTTGTCAAAACATCCTTATTTCTTCCTCAAATTAATTCTGTTTAGTCAAAAAGTTATTTCCCCTGACTTTTATTTATTGGCATACAAGTTATAGTTATGCTGCGCTTTACGGTTGGTGGTTACTATAGCAACCACAGTTGCTAAGGGATGCGCTAGCAACTGACAGCTCCTCCACTTTTTCTGTTTCTCTTTATCCAGTTGTTATTACTTGTTAGGATTTTGCAGTGTTCCTGGTTCCTTCAAAAAGGGCAAGGATATGTTATGTAATTATTCTTCAAGTTTAATTCTGCGGTTTCCTTTTATGCGACTGAACGTGAGCCCAGCTTTCCTCCACTCATGAAGACACTGCTGCCCTGTGTTTCCTTTGGCTCCTGAGGCCGACGCTCTTGGCTTGTTCTGCTGGCTCTCGGCCCTTCAAAGAAAGCCCCAGGGGCAGAGCTTCAATCGGCTGGATGGGCACATCTCCCTGCTCAGTTTCACTCGGAAATAAAAGTTCAGCTCCGGACGTTTACTCACATGGCTTAAAATGTGAGTTTCAGGGCTGTAGCTGGAGAAACAAAGCGCAAAATGCAGAGGTGGGTAGAAACTAGCTACATTTACTTGAGTAACTTTTTAGGAAATAATACTTTAAAGAGTAGCTTAGTTTTTACTCTTGCTTAAATACATTTTCTAGATACTCTACCCTCTGTGAGTAATTTTGCTGAATGAAGAACAAACAACCAATTCATGAAGTACAAACACAGTTACAGCTTAAGCTAACGTAAGCTTTGTTTTTCTCACGTTATTTTCTCCCTGCTGAGCCTTCGGGCACCGGAAATACTTGACCTTATTTTAACATGCAGAATACTTGTATTATCAACTGTAACTATCGTTTTTATAGGTTTTTTATGATTTAGAAAAGTGTTACCTGAATCTGCTATTTTGTAATCATGTTATTTATTTATTTTTATTTATTTAGTCTATTAAATATAATTTGGACAGAATGTTGCATTTTTGTCTGTCTGATGAAATTATTTAAAAATATTAAATCAGATGTTCTGATCATTCACTAAGTACTTTTAACTAGATTTTGTTCTCTCTTATTAAAAAAATGTAGACCTTTTACTTACTTGAAACATGTTTAAGCAGTTCTACTCTTACTTGAGTACAGTTTCATGTACTCTACCCACATCTAGTAAGATGAAAGCAGAAAAAAAGCAAATAGTGATCTCACCTGCATTGTTTCCTTCACTCAATTCAGGATCCTCTGCCGCAGTTGAATCTGTGAGAATATTTACAAGTAAATTTTAGCTGGAATTTCCATTGAGACACATGCATTTTCCTTAAAGCCTAAATGGATAAAAATGTAGCAAACCTTTTGGTAAAAAAAAAAAAATACCTTTGGGATTGTTATGTACATTATCACATGAACTACCCGTCATTGGTCCTGTTGCTCCTCCACTCTTTTCTGCAGTAATTACTGATACAGAAAATATCGTCAAATGCATCAGGGCAGATTAACTGCATGCATTTCAAGATGCTGCTGTACATGCTGCACATGCATATTAGGTTCATTTTTTTAGATTCATTTCATTAAATTTGTGCATAAGATGTGTTTAAATTGCCAATGTTAGAGTTTCTTGTTGGGTATTCTGTAAAGGAAAAATGTTTCACATGCTGAGAAAGAAAAACACAAACACCACTGCTGTATGAGCTGATCAAGGCTTACCATCCACATCGCAGTGCTTCTTGAAGTCTGGGCAACACTGTTTGAACTTTGAGCATTCGAAGTCACAGCTGCATCGCCGGCCTCTCTTGAAGGTTTCTCCACAACGGCCCTTGCAGGAGTTTACTGTTGCATAGATAAAAATCTGAAGCTTAAAACACTACAGATCCACACAGTTCCTCTGGAAGATACCAGATACACACAACTGTGCACTGCAGCTGAGAATTAAACTCAGTTCACCATATGAGCATTTTTCTCTATGCTTCTATTTTTTTCCACTATAATCCATGCTATTCAATGGATAAATAAGCTGCACACACCATTGAAGATTAAATTAGTTTTCTGTTAACAATAGTTAAAGAAAAGTGGAAACATGCATTAAATAGATATGAGAATATATATATATATATATATATATATATATATATATATATATATATAAAGAGAAAAGAGAAGTTAAGTTACTTTTAATGTCAGATAGTGAGAAGACTAGTTGTATTTTATAGAGTATATACAGTAAATATGTGGTTTTGACTGTACATAATGTACTTGCTATATAATTATTACAGTTTAAATATTCATTTGACAAATTAATTATTGACCGAGTCGTAGAACTTCAATAGTTTTCTGATACCCTACAGCCTGTGGCACCTGAGCCACAATGGCTTTTAATAACTTTTGGTTAAAAAAACTAAATGAATCAGCTAATGTTTCTAAGTTTAAATATAATAATAAATGCAAGTTTTTAACAGTTTTCCACAAAAATGACACTAAACGTACAAGTAAAATCTTTTTAAAATGTTTTTCTTGTGCTTTTTTAAATTTTTACACCATTTTTCATCCTGCAGAAAAAAGATCCATACTCCTGCTAAATTGTGTTTATTTTTTAGCTGAAATCCTAAATATAGGAATAAAATGGTGGTCCTTTAAAAATACCAGACTTTCTCTAAGAAACAGAATTTGAAAAAAAAAAGTTTAATATAATTTTCTACACAAGCATCACTCCTGTTTGTTTGTGTGCATATGTGCAAAAGCAAATCTTACTTGTGGTGCACTGAGCTTCATAATCATTGCAGCACTCATCATAGGACAGGCAGGTGAAGTCACACTGACACATGTTGCCTCGGTAGTACTCGGCGCCACATCGTTCTCTGCAGCTCGCTGTAGGAAACAGCGCAAACAGGAAAAACGATCAGAAACGAGTTGAGAAATCAGTGTGTGCTGCTGATGTGATCCTTTGGAGCACAGGCTGCCAGAAATCGATTTCTGAAGTTGAGCAACAAAAACAAATGTAGGCACATGTCCTCCCTCCGGTTAATGATCATTAACAAAGCAAACATGGATGAGTAGAAGGGAAGAAAACATTTAACAGATTGCCAGAAAAATTAACAATATATATGGATTTTTTTTATTTTTTTTGCATAGACTGGTAATTAAATATTTTCTTAATGAAATGTGCCAGTTATAGGAGTTATACTCACTCTGAGATGAGATGAATTTCAAAGCACAAACCAGCAAAGTGGCAACCATAAACGTTTTGGAAGACATTATACAGTAAATCTGAAATAAAGCATCAGAAATTAAGATAAAGCTGTCATTTTCAAAATTAAAAGGCAAACTACTACAACCATGGTGTAAACTCACCTTTCCTGAGCTCCTGTCTGCCGAATCGGTGACCTGTGCTCCTTTTATAGAGCCGAGGGAGAGAAAGAGAGACGCCCTGAGTGTCTTGTAATTGGCGAATCTGGTCTAATTAAAAGGCGATGATCTCACAGGGTGTAGGGAGGGTCCTGCAGTCCAGACATTAGGATTTACCACAAACACCTGGAAGCACATCAACACACTTCTGTGCCAGACAGACGGCTGACTTCACACACTTCTGGGCAGAGGAAATAACAGTGGCTGGGGCTTGTTGTTCAGTCAAAACTCAGAACAGGGGAGTTTCTCATCCTGCCAGACCTTCCAGGTCAAAGACCGTCAAACAAACTAGTCATTGCTTTTTTTATTTGCTCTATTGTTCTTTGGCATTTTATTCTATTTATTTATTATATATTTAGATCTTCAGAACATTTAGAACTTAGTTTTTTATAATTAACTATATTTATTATAGTATTAATTTATTCATTCTTTACACCCAGGATTCAAATTTTCAAACAATTTGCTTTTAGCTATACAACATCTATGATCCACGTTAGCTATCTAATATCTGGTAAATCAACAAAAATATGATCTATTTATGTTTAGAAAACAACCACAGATACATTTATTTTCTAGCTTTTGATGGTCCCAAGGAAAAGTTAGTCACAGAGAACAAATATGAATGAATCACCTGTTATCAAGCACTGGACCTGCAGACCTTTGTAAACAAGCCAAAAACCAAATTGCACTTGTACCATTTAAAATGTTACACATTTGATGATTGTGATACAACTACAAACTTTAATGTATTTTGTCATCAATCTCATTCGCCAACACAAAACAGCAAATGATTATATGTGTAGTGGAAATGTTATGCAATTTTAATTTTTTTTTTTTTTTTCACAAATTAACATTGAAAGGTTTGGTGTGTGTTTTCATTTGGGTTCATTTTCAGACACCTTCCTCTGCAGTAACAGACTGACATTTTTACTGACTCCTTTTTGAAAAATTGCCAACGCTCAGTCAGTTTAATAGAGAGAGTATCAATTTAATTAATTTAAAGTACCAGTCTAATCTGCCCACTCCAACACATGAGTGTTCATTAATGAGTTCCAGAGTAGCACTAAACATTTTATGGTTTTCCTTCAACAATGACTTTATTCTTGACAATTTGTCAAGAATTCCAGCTTTTTTGGGGAAGTACAGCAAGTTTTTGTTCAGCCAAAATTGTGTTAATCTCTCTCCTCTTGTGGTCCTTCTTGTCCAACCCTCTCACTTTAGGTGGACAGACAGGTTTTTGTTGCCCTATAATTTAGATTTTTACATAATTTTCATGCTATTTGGAGATATTGAAGGATTGAGACGCTGCTTTAGTGCTAAAATGTTTCCACAACTTTATCCCTGACTTGTCTTTGGTCTCCATGACTCCTTTTGTTCCCTAATGTTCACTTACAAACCTCTAAGACCTTTACCAAACAATTACATTTGTACTGAGATTCAACTGCACAGGTGTAACTACGTTTTATTTAAGGGTGTCAGAATGAAACGCACCTTAAAGGGTATTTTTCCTTCCACTTCATAATCATGCTCTATTATTTGACATCATAACAAAATAAATAAAAGTTTGTGGGTATAATAAAACAAATAGAATTGAAAAAGTTAAAGAAAAACAAATACTTTTACCATATCCTCAATTATTATTGGTTTTTTTTTTTTATTTGAAAGGGAAAGTCCTGCTAAGTGGTTAATAAAAGCAGAAAAGCTTACCTCATAAAATTATTAACAAAATCAGTGGATATGCAGTTCCTGCTATCTCAAACAATTCCTGTCAAAGCAATTTTACTACATATATTTGTGCATTTGAGCCTTTTTTGCATCTTTGTTACAAATGTAAACATGGATTTTCTTAAATTTAAACTGAAAATATGTGTTTTGGTTAAACAAGACTAAAACTGAGGTGAGTTTGGCAGGAAACAAAGGATAATTATTTATGAAAAGTACCCAATTTTAAGTATGGAGGAAGATCTGTGAGTCTGTGAGCCTGTTTTTCCTTCAAAGGTCCTGCAAATCTTACCAGACTGCAAGGTGATGAGTGAACTCTTTTAAAAATAAAACATCTAAAAGACTGAAAATGGAACTGGGTGTTTTAGTAAGATAATCATCAAAAATGTAATGAGAGCAACAACCCACATCCACCCTATATACAGGTCAAATATGTTTGTGTCTGTGGATCAGATGAAGATGGCGTTTTGTGGTTGGAAATCTTACTGAACCGTTTTACAGCTTGGGGAATTTCCTGTTGTGTCATCGTCCAGTTAGAGGATCGGTGTCTGTTAGTGCTCTCATGTTAAAGCAGTGATATTGAAATGGCTGCACCAACTGAACATATTAAAGGAAAAACACTCTCCACTATTTCCTGCCACAAAACAAGACAAAGAGAAGCCATGCAATGCCCTTTCAGCTTCTCTTTGGAGTAGAGTTGGAGCGCCACCTGGTGTTCACAGCACAGAGCAAAGTTTCTCCTCTGCAGGTGATTTATTAGAGAAATTTTGAAAATATTTGACACTTTTGGAGCTTCTTCTCGCGTTTACAGCTTTTTAGGCTTGACTGTAAAAAAAAAAAAGTAAACTGGTTCACATGTTCTGAAGACAAAACTAAATCTATTCCTTTATTTTCTTTTCCTAATTTCACAATAATGTGCAAAAAAAATTAAAAATGAGACCACCCTGAAGTCTTCTACTGGAGTGTGCAGATTTCTCAAACAGTTTATGATGATGTCAACTCTGATGAGGTTCAAATCAGCATCTACTTAGTAGTAGGATGCCTTCCCACATATTCCTCTGTTTCACACCAAACCTACTGTTTTGTTTTGTTTTGTTTTGTTTTCAGAGAAGTTAATCTCATTTTATCAAAGCACATGGTCATGATTAAAGTCCCAGCAGAGATCAGCAGACTCAACAGGTTTAGGTTTGTGACAGATCTACAGGTGTTTTGACTTTTAGTTTCATCTAAAAGTCTTAGTCATTTCTTTATTGTTTGTTTTTCTTATATTTTTGCCATTATAGTTTGTCTCTTGTGATGGTTCATTTATTCTCATCGTTTTTACTTTGAATTATCATTTCTTTAGATTAGTGTTTCTTTTTGTTGTTTCTACCCTTAGGTTTCTCTGTCCCTCTGCTCTGTTAAGTTTACACAGGTTATCTGGTTCCTTGCCACTTTCTCTTCTTCCTCAGGATATTTAAGCTCCCAGTTCACATTGTTCTCCTCTGGCTCCTTTCATTACACTTTATCTCCATAACACCGTGTTTCCCTGCAGTGTTGACTTTCTGTATGTTTTTTCCCCATTATTCTTCTTCAATAATTCATGAATTCAATAAAAAGGCCCTTCTCCTGTCTGTATTTTGGTCCAGTCACTAACTAATTTGACATTTAAAAATACTTTCTCCTAATCTCTAGTGTGAACTAATTTAGACTTTGTGACCAAAGGTGCTATTGTTTAGCCTTTGAGAACTAAAGATGTAAAGGGCTTTATAAATAAAATCGTTATTAATGTTATCTTCTCATTCTGGCATTTAACAAAATGGAATAATTTTGCCAATCCTAGCTGAACATAAACAGGAATCATGTAATCTACTCTCCTGTTAGACAGCAAAAGAAATTTGGTTAGGTGTCCTTTTATGCAGTGTAAATAATTATAAATATACAGCTCTGATGAAAAATTAAGTGACCACTTAAAATAATCAGTTTCTCGGATCTTACCTTTTATAGGTTTATGTTTGAGTAAAATAAACATTGTTCTTTTATTATATGAACTACTGACAACATGTCTCTGAAATTCCTAGCAAAAAATTTAGTATTTATTTGCAGACAATGAGAAATTTAGACAACAGTCACATACAGATATATCACAACGTAATCATATTTTTTTGAATGCATTGATATTTATTGATGCTCTCATAGAACAAACAGTGGATAAAATATTAAAACCAATAATCAATATAGTGTTGGAGGCTTTTAAACATCAAAATTTATATCATAACAAGAAATGCATGATGATAAATGATAAAACAATACAATAAATATCCACCCCTACAGTGTAATAGACAGCTGTAATCTTAACTTACAGCTGTCTATTACACAGCTGTAAAAAAAAAAAATTACATTTCTTTTTTCTTTCATTGAGACATTTTAGGTCCTACATCCTCATTTTGCCCTGAAGGTTCACAGATTGAAACAGCTGCATCTCCATCTGACTCTTTGCAGGGTAACAAGCTCATAGAAAGACAAACACTTGACACAAAGGGAAAGGTGATAGATGGAGATAATGCATTTGTTTTTGCGGATTTATCCCACACACACATTTGATCTCCCAGTGAGATTAGATGAGCTTTGAGGGGTTCAGTGGGTTTGCTGTCCTGGCACTAGAACTGTCTCTGTGGTTTCTGAGCAGAGGAGGGCAATCTTCTGTCTTGGCAGCTTTAATAAGCCAGCCTGCACAAGCAGCAGCTAAGCTGATTTATGTGCGCGCCCCCTCTAAAAGAGGCAGGATCAGAGAGACACCAAGGACAAAGGGTGAGCCCACCAGGTCTCCTTCAGTCAATCATTTTTAACATTTGAGCTGAAAACCTGATGAAGGAAGCACAGCGACTTCCGGCAAGACATGAGCAGTCTAAAGAAGAGTTCATAACAGGAAACGGATTACGCATTTACTGTTTCAGTTCTGTTTTCAATGTGCTAAAAAGCAACCTAAAGAATCAGTTTGAGAGTTATCTGAAACAACATAAACATGCTCCAAAGTCTGAAGCTGTGATAGAAACAAAAGAGCCTTTAGAGGAAGACAAATGAGAGCAGATCTGTAGAGAAAATACCAACACGTGGCAGAGTTTGATTAAATTCTGCAGCTAATTTCATTTTATGTCTGAGGTTTAAATCAGGATTAAATGCTCAAATAATTATCCCTCATTTAATTCTGTGCTAGCAGATGGAAGGATGAGACTCTGCCAGTAAAATTCTTTGATAAAGCAACTGATATTTCAGCCACCTATAGGTCCTTCTGGACTCTGCATGACTTAAGTTAAAATGTATAGTGTTATGTTAAGTCCTGAAATATAGTTGTGACATTGTGATCAAATGTTTTCATCTTCCTTGTCGCTTACTGCAGGTCTAAAGACGGAAGTTATCATATCTAACCATCACCAATGGTGCACAGGAAACAAATACGCTTCAAAGCTGTGCAAAGGAGCCACTTTGCTGGGTTTGATAT